CCAACTAGTTCCCGTCTCCGCCGCGTCTATACGGTTTATATTCCTAATACCAAGTCTATGACTTCCTGTGCCTTAGTCTCTTGTGTGCAAGCCCACAAAAGTTTTGGTTTAACATTCAAAAGCAAGCAGTACCACAACATTTGTGTGTTGGCACACAAGAGACTAAGGCATACAATTAATAGACTTGGTATTTGGGATAGAAACAGTATAGACGCGGCGAAGACGAGCTAGTGGGTTGACAGTAGGCCTGTTTTACCACAAACGTGGTCTATGTACCAAAGGCTTGCCCATGAGACTTAATCATAGGCTTTAGCCTCGAATTAGTCACCCAGACGCAGGGGATGGGTAATAAGTAGCACAGAAGAGATTGCAGGGTCGAGTGAAATACTTGAACCAGAGCGTTAGCAGACTGATTCTACGAGGCAAGAGGGAGACCGATAAGACCTAGTGAAGTAGAACTTTGTAACATTACGGCAGACTGATCAACATTCCCAGCATAAAGGTGAAGAGGGGGGGGAAAACGCCAGCGTGAAGTGAATGCTGCCCAAAAGGGCACACCATACTACATCTAAATAAGCACGGTAAAAATTGTTACAGTGAAGGCGTGATCGGAGGATATAGGACAGAAGAATACCCAATGACAGAAGGAGAGATACCACAACTGTTTAGCACACGTTTGATCAAAGGATCGGCTTCACTTGTCTCTGAAGTGTTGCTGTGTGGTGCTAAGACTGCCGGCGAAACGTCTGGGAATGTACCACATCCACGGTCCTACTTTGGAAATCATCATGCATACAATGGACTCCGGACTAGGTGCGTTCCTCTAAGACTTTCTACCAATATGACCAAGTTGCGAAAACAAGGTCAATCAACCTCTAATTTATTTTACTTTAATCTATTTCACACTTGATCGCATAACGCTTGATTGAATTAGCATTTTGGCTCCATATTCTCTCCTTAATCTTACCGCCTGCCTCACAACTTGGCGTTTTATATTTACTCTCATATTTACACATATTTACACATATTCGAGCGCACTCCACTTGCTTTCACCTATTCTCTTGGCTCATTTAACTTAAGCTTTAAACCATTATATATATATATATAACATTCATGTGAACAGTGGCATTTTCTCCTTGCATTGATGTATATCATGACTTCTCATCACTATACATTACTATTGCATTATCATCTTAATTACTTTACGCTCCCTCAAAATAACTTAACAACTTTGAAATCATATTTATACTGCAATTTATTGCGTTTTCATACTTTTCCTCTATTTTTATTTATTTATTGTCTTATTACTTCGCATTTTATCCTGCATTAATTGAAAATACACTTCACCAAGTTGGTTTCATCACTCATTAGTGAATCCACGAATGATTACAGTTTCTATACAATTTTGTCGCTTTCATGGGTATCAGTTCATCGTGCACTCTTTCATGCAATTCTTCTTACTTTATACAATATATATTTATCATTTTCATATTTAATTTCGGCTCTACCTTCTAGCAAATATGCGCTCATTGACACAATAATGAAATTACAGCTACGCTTAAAAATTCATACTATGCTTACTTTCATAAACACCTCTTGGATTTTACGAATTCGTCTGTGTACTCGCCCTCTACAGCTGGCAAACTTGGTCCTGATATCCTCGACCTTCTTGATGAGTTTGTTGGTACCTCTGATGACTCTGGCATCTTCTGGCCCCACAGCACCGTCGGAATCACTAACCAAAGAGTGACTAGTGATTCTACCAGCCACACTAGCTTGTCGATGCCACGCGACTCATCTTCTATACTGGCTCTTCCTGCTCCGGAGCATTCTCTACCAATGCAGCTCGAAAATATGAACATAGAACACAAGTGCCATTTGGATGATGCAACGAATAGTCTGTCTTCTCGGCCACATATAGGCTCGAAATCCGGTGCCAGCAACGCTGGCAATATGGAGTATCTCAACAACAACTTAACTTCTGTGCCTTCCAGTTCCTCTGTTGCAAATAGCCGATCATGCACCACTCTTCCAAATTCAAACACTGACAACTTTGGGTCCGTGAGTGGTCAGTCTATAAGCAATCCAATCGCCGAGCCTGACTTATTTGCTGAGCTCCGGCCCCGAATAGGATCAGATTTGACAGGTTCGTGGATGCTTTGTCTTGTGAGTGAAGTTGGCGTCTTGTTAAAATGGGTACCGATCAACAGCAGCTCAACTACCTCTTGGGCTCGCCCATCTATACAGCGAGAAGCGTGTATTTTCTTTTAATTATACTGTTTGCGATTGCGCTATTTACAGATTTCCTAGCAATTTCTTTATGCTACTTATCGGATTCGTGCCAAAATCTCACTTTCATATAAAATTATTCCATTTCCTATTCTCATTGCACTTATATTTTATTTTTATTCATTTAAGCACGTGTGTATACTATTATTCTCATACTTTACTGATGCTTTGCTAACTGCACTTTCATATGTCACTTAAAGAAGTATTTCACTTGTTCTAATGACCTGGCAGAATACGACTTGTTTGACCAAAAAGTCTTCTGCACAATGGCCTGAATGTTGATGTTATGTTCTACCCTGTGTACTTGTAGGTTTTTAGAATTTTTGATTACTCCGATTTCAGTATTTATTTATGACCAACTTTGCTTAATTTATTTTTGCTCAATCTTGCAATTCATTTGTTTTATGCGCAGCCTTACTGCCACTCTTGCTTTAATAATTTCAATAACTTTATCACCTAACTAACGGACATTCTTTAAGGGCGGTCATAGCTTTTAACGAGAATTAAAAGAATAGTGAAATTCATATAAATTTAATGTAATGTGAAAAAGGTTGAAGTTTGTAGTATAGAAGCAGTTTACTGGCTGATGTGCTTGCTCTCCTTCATAAACTTGGTTGATCTATGAATTAACAATAATTCCCGCTGAGAAACTTTATCTAAATCTTGCCATCATGTTACGCTTATTTAATTTAATCTAGTTTAAATAGCTTAATTTTCGGATCT